AAAAAAAAAAAAAAAAAAAAAAAAAAAAAAAAAAAAAAAAAAAAAGACAGCTCCTTGAGGAAAAAAATAACAAAAACCAGCCTAACACAGAATTTATAGTAAATTCTGCTCTTTCACTCATCTAGGAACTGTTACGCAGTGAAAATGAAACCTGCCCATCTGCACACAATTCCCCTCAGCAGMGAAACCGCACACCAGGCTGACTCCTTCCTTCTGGAGAGTTCATACCCAGAGGCCAAAGGAGCTGCTTTATCATGAAACCAACATCTTGTAGCTGCTCCTCTACAGTCACACCAGCAGTCCTTGCACCAGGCATAGAAACCTGTTCACAGTTACTAGAGACATTCTCTTCCCCCCAGTCTTATGGCTTCCAAGCACCAGGCTGCTCCAGGAAGGTCTCCAAAGCTGACAGTCACTAGAATTATGTGTCCGTCTGCTTCCATTCTAAACATTTTCATTCTATTACAGAGAAAAAAAAAAGCAATTTGATTTGTCAGCTCCTCAAATTCCTGCTGAGTGTGGATGATTCCTGTCATCCTGTTACACAGAAAAAACACAATATAGGGAAACATAGCAAATATTACCTCAGGTGAGAATGTTCAGTGAATACACACACACACATACCAGCCTTCTCTAATTGTATATTAGTTTTTAGTAACCAGTTCTTACTGGCTGAGGATCTAACAATAATAAAAGGCCACAGTGAGCACCATCACAAGGCCCTTACTTTATCCAGAAGYGTAATGTGCTAGTTCTAGATACAGGCATGCCCAAATCCCAGGAGCACAGACTCCAGGTTTGTACAGGCAGCCCTGGTGGAGAGTTGCACACTGTTCTGCTGCCTGTGCACAATGAGAAACTGAGCTGAACTCACAGTCTCAGCTGGCCTAATCTGGTTTTAAGAAATTGGGAGGGCAGGAACTCAACAAAACCACCTAACCAAAAATCAGTCACATTTTTTTCTTCCTAAATTCAGCAAATGTCACCAGATGCAAACAAAAAGGGGCTGACAAATCAGAAGGGGAGATTTTGCACACCAACCTTTCTTGGTACAGGGCAGTCTACCCACAAGGTTTACAATTACCCATTACACTCTGCTCAGGCACAGTGGAAGTGTTTTGCCTTGGCAGGTCCCTAAGTTCTACCAGTTACCTATAATGACAGACAAGAGACCTTGAACTAAAATACAAGAAAACGAGAAGAGACAAATTGCGAAAGCCAAGCAAATAACACAGTGCTAAAATGCTACTTTTTATACTATGCATACCCCCAGTGTTTTTGTGTAACAGCAGTGGAACAGAGATCTCCAGGAATAGGTGTTGCAAAGCTTTAACCTAAAGACACTGAACAGCACTAAACTCATGTAAAGAAGTTGCAAGGGAGAGGGAAAAAAAACCCCACACAGGAAACCCCCTTCTTTTTAAATAACACCGTTTAAGATGTTGTGCTTCCACAAGCAGGTAAAAACAGTTTCAGTCTGATTAGTGACAAAAAGTTATAACAGAATAAAAACCACTCTTGCCCACAAGTGGACTTTTGCAAAAAGTCCTTTACCATARAAAACAAACCAAAATAAAAACTTTTAAAATAATTTCCTGCTGGGGAACCTCTTTGCTCCTTCCCCCACCAAACATTTTAACCAATTTGAAAAGATAACAAGCATCCCACGACAAGATTTTGGCCCAGTTACCCCAAGCGACATCAAGAAAAGTTCACCACTTCCGAATTAGGAAYTGGCTTTCTGAATTAAAACTTTAGTGATTTAAAAACTCTGAGGCACTGTATCTTTTTTTTTTAAGCTACAAAATAGCTTAAAATAGCTTAAATAGTTTAAAAGAAGACAAGAACATCCCCCCCTCCTCCCCTCCGCCAAACCYACCAATTTCAGAGCCACTGTCACTCCAAGGTAAAGAGACCGTCACCAGACAGACCATTTAACTTCCAGAATTACCCTTCTGAACAAGGGGACCTGCTCACTCCATTCCCTTCCACCTCACACACTGCCCAGTCTCCTGCTGCAGCCTTCAGCWACCCTGAATCAAGTCCCTGTGTCACGGGAATGCGAGCGCTGCTCACGGGAAACAAAGAGATAACTAAAGGCGCTCACCACCTCAACAGGCAGCCACGGACACGTACAGCTTTGGGGAAGGCAAGGAGARCGGAGAAAAACACACACTGGAATAACTCATCTGTATCAATCACCTGTTCTTCCTACAAATTTCGGCACTATTATTAGAAATCCTTTCTTGCCTCGCTTTCTTGCTGAAGCTGCCACTCCCACATCCCTCTGTTGCTGGAAGGCTGAGGCAAGCGCGGGTCCCTCTGGAGTCGCCACTACAGAATTAACTCCTTCCTCTCCCCTGCCCGGCTAATATCGCTTTTGAGTCTGACAACTCTCACCAGAAATGAAAGCGAGATGCTGGACTTCACCACGAAGCCCAAAGGCAAGAAAGAACTTTTTGTGAAGGCTCGATCCCAGCGGGGGAAGCASCAAAGGGGCCGGAGTCGCTGGGGGAGCGGAGAGGTCACTCCTRGCACAGGCGAGGAGGGACGAGCGGAATAGCAACTGAACAGAACTGAACTGGCAGTTCAAACACAGCAAAGAAAGAAACAACSGCACCGCTGAAACGCAAGGCCGGATTCGGCAGGCAGAAAGGAAGCGGGAGATCGACCAGGAGGCAGAGGAGTTTCCAGTACTCAGTAGAGAAGGCAGAACGCGATCTCCCGTGTGGTCACTCCATCCCACAGGCTGGGGGGCTGCGAGGCGCAGCCGGCACCTCCAGCTCGGCGCTGATACCCCACGGCCCGGGAGCCCGCGGGCCCGGCACCCGCCCCGCCACCGCCACCGCCACCGGCCCTTCCCGGGCGGGCCCGCGCCGCACCGAGTCTCGGGGTGCGCCCGGGCCGCCGCCCACGTTCACAACGCGAGTTTCCCGCCCAACGCGGTGTCGCGATCAGGCCGCTCCCGCGGCCGGGGAACCCCGGGCAACACTCACCGGGAGCGGAGCTGCAGCACTGGGCGCTCACGGCGATCGCCCTCCCTCGCTCGCTGTATTTGAGGGCCCAGACCCCGCCTCACGGGCGGGCGGGAACGCGCGGCACGCGCCGCCTGCGGGCCCGGCCCAACGGCCGCGCGGGCTGAGCGCGTGAGGGCTCGGGAAGTGCCCCGGGCCGTGGGATCCGCCCCCGGCACAAATCGTCCCCACAGAAATCCTCCTCCTTCTGCARTTCTGACGGGCCCCGACCTGGTGGTGCTCGGCCAAAGCTCCTCATACCCCATCTACAGCCTCCTCCCTGCCAGATAAGTGAATTTTTCGCTTTATATCGTTTTATGGGCTTAAAATCACAGAGCCAATTAGGTTGGAAAAGACCTCTCAGATCASCCACTCCAACCTGTGACCGAACACCACCATGTAAACAAGACCATGGCACTGAGTGCCACATCCAGTCTTTCCAAAAGCCCCTCCAGTGACAGTGACTCCACCACCTCCCTGGGCAGCCCATTCCAATATCCAATCACCTTTCTGTGAAGAAATTCCTCCAAATGTCCAACCCGAGCTTCCTCAATGCAATTTAAGACTTTGCGCTCTCATTCTGTCACATTTTGCCTGGGAGAARAGGCCAACCCCCACCTTGCTACAACCTCCTTTTGAGTATACTAATACACCATAGTGGCAATATCCTACTTCAACTAATTTATATTTAATACAGCCTTACATTCCAACGTATTTCTGTTTAGAGCAATCCTTCCCCGGTATTCAGGACAAGTGTCCTTCCTGTCACACTTTTCCTCCTAACACATCAAGTCACAATGCCACGCTCAGCCTTTGGATTGCTGCACAGGGTGTGCCAAGGGTGCTTGACTTTAGGGTATTTTTTAAAGTTTCTGGGATTCTACAAAACAGACTGAGCCAATTCTGATTCAGGTTTGAGTCATTTGGTCAACCCACTGGGTGACTCCCTTCTGGGAATACTGTTAGGGAAGAATAAAATGACACGGAAATATCTGATGACTTCTGAAGAGAAGTTTCAGCTTCTTCAAACTATTCAGCTTTGTTTTGGAAAGTCAACACTGCCCCAAGTAGCAAAATCACATTCTCTCCCTTCTGCCCAAATTGTATTTGTTTATTTTGAGAAATCGCTGAGGATTTTTTTTTATATCTTTTTATTTCTGGTATCTGAGTAATATGGATTATATATTTGTATAATTGAGATGTTATCTTTTGCTTACAGAAAGCCACGTGATTTCTGCACCTGTGACATGCAGAAAAGCCCCACACACTCAGCAGGTTAGGAAATACTAGTTTATCCACTTTCCTGGTATCCACAGGCATTCTCACTGTTCCTAAGGTGCCAAGACAAAATAGCACTTTTTCCAGAGTTGGTTTCTGGAGCGGCATATCTTTTTTGTTCTTTATTTTGAGTGCTGTGTAAAAGGATGCAGATTAAGGAAGGAGGCAACTCTAAACTGGTATCTATAAATTGAAGCATGAGGCCACCTCATTCCCTGTGGCTCTCCAGGAGATGCAGCCACATGCCAGCACTGTTGCATTTTCACCCATGTAGGATCCTTTCTTTTTCTGGTAACTGATCCATTGCTGCTTAGGATATGAAGGGGGAAGATACACTCAGGACTTGCTGGAATTCTTAAGAGATTTGTGGCTGGGTAGCACCCTTACATGGTAAGGTTTGCATTCTCCAATACACAAGACTTAAAAATGCAATTGCTAAYGTAGGCAGCATTTGCTAATTGTGGTCACAGCACTGATGGTGAAGACTTTTCAAAAAAACCTATAAAACACAAGGGAAGCCAGAATGGCAGAGGCTTGTAGACGTGGCTTTCCCTTACTTATTTTTCCTGACAAGTTACATTCACTGTCTTTATCCAGGCTGAGAACAGTCAGAAGGGCTGTATAAGATAATGTATATCTGCTGCTGCCAGAAAGGGGCTCTGCATGCTTCATGAACCCACTGACATCCTTCCTCCTGTGCTCCCGAGAGCTGAGGGCTCATTCATCCTCCCACCTCAGTAACTTCCGTTGCTGTTCCTCACCTCTGCCCTGAAGGCAAAGAGCTGGGGAGAGGTTCTGGTTCTGCGCCAAGGGGAACAAGGAAGGGTGGGTGAGGCAGCTTTGAGAGCATGGATTACCACCTGTAGAGAGGGTCAGAGGCTTCTGAAGGCTACTTTCATTATCAATGGAAAAGGAAAGCAGCAATTGCCACTACGCTGACCTCTGGGGGTGAGGTTTATTTATTAGAGGGTCTTTTTGTGGTGTTATTTCTTAGACATGTGTAACCAATCTGCAGGAGCACTAATTTTGGAGGCCCAGCATAGCTCTTTGCCCAAGCAAGCAATAGATACAGCTCTCCCTAGACCTCTTGTTCCATTCATGGTTTATAAAACAGCAGAATGTCTTGGTTTCTAATTGAGACTGAGGACTAACAAGTTAGCACTGTACCTAAAAGCCATGATGAAGTGTTGCAAGACTGGTCCTCCTAAGCTATGGATGGGAGCCAACTTCCTGTGTCCCAGAGTCCAGCAGTTGCTTTCCATACATTCATTTTTCTTTTGGCATCAAGTGAGAAATCGTTGTGGACTGGCCTTTGGACATCAGAGAGATCTCCTGTGCCTGGGTAACCACAACTTTCTCCCACTACTATTTTTATTCCCACTACTATATGGGAGCAAGAACCCAAAAGAACAGGAAAAAATTTAAGGTTTGAAAGGTACTCAGAGAGCTRCCACCCTATTGAGTTACACAAATGAGGCAGCAAGCACTGTCACTTCTGCCACCTGCAGCTCAGCCCGCTGGCCCAGGTCCAGGCAAGGGGAAATCCGTGGCCTGTCAYCCCCCCTGCTGCAGTAATAGGTCTGCTTTAATCACACCACCATAGGAACACCAGGGTTTATCTTTTGTTTTAGAAATGGTTCAGTGGGCAAGAAAACAAAACACATTGCTTGGGATTTCCCCTAACATTCTGTGTAAAGCTTCTGCTTCTTAAAAAAAAAAAAAAGGCTGAAGTCAACTGACAAGAGTGGTGCTGACTCGATGCCACTACACCAAGCTTCAAACTCCTCCTGTTAACTGGATGCAGCACTGACCCCTGGGGCTGAATATCAGCCCTTTTCAAACAGGAGATACCTTACCCAAGCTGCTGAGATTGAACCTCTGAATCCTTCTGGTGTGTTCAAGAGGCACAGCTCMGGAGCTAAGCCCTGCTTAGCTTTCCTGAGGCTGGCACAGTGCAGMTGAGACATGGCCATGGAGTGCTGGAGGCTTCAAGCAACACAAAAAGTCTGTACAGAGGCATTCATGTAATTCTTACCTTATTTTACTGCTACACCAGCATCAGATGTTCAGGCTAGTACTGCARGCTGAGGAAGTGAGCTACAGCTACAGAAATTAAATCCTACTTTCTACAATTCAGTTTATATTACCTTCATCCCTTCTTGGCTATTTATCATAACTTTACAGAGAATCCAAAGAAACAGTGTAAAATATGGAGAAGGGAGGACTATGTACTGGGGCTGTATCATTGATTTCTTTGCATCAGACAATTCAGAGCACCTGAGAGTGTGGCAGCAAAAGAGAAATTGAAGCCAGGCCCTTTAMCACCCAGGTTTATCTTTAGATCACCTCCTCACAGGTCCTCGTCAATCATCAACCAAGGGAGTGACAGCAGAGGAAAGAAAAGGTAACGCCACCAACAAAAAAGAAAAAATAATTAATGACTTTATTTTTTTTTTTTAGTTCAGTTGGCCATCTGAGGTGCTAAAATCTCAACACCAATGAAGCAAGTGTGCATAAAAACAAACGATAAAACACAACCAAATAGAAGAAAACAGGCTGGAACAGAGTTGGTTTTGTACAGGTAGGGTATTCTCTTTTCTGTTAACGCTCCATACATGCCAACCGTAAAAGCCTTGAACAATCTGAATATCAGAGTTCACTTTCATATAAAAGGGCAGATGCCAAAGCAACTCCCTTTGCCAGATTAGACGTCACACACACACGCATGCACCCATAGAGTATTTAAATTACTGCAATGCCATCAGAACATGGCATCCTCCCCTTCACATCTGCTTTCAGTGACACCCTTATCTGCCTGCTACCCTGCCTAGTACCTGCCAAGCAGTACTTGAACAATCCAAAAGCAGGAACTTCTGGAAAGCTTCTCATCTCTGTTATTTTGCAAAGGTCAACAGCCAGCGATCTCCTTCTCTGTGAACTATATACAGGCTGGTTTTTAGTATACTTTAGAGTTCTTTCTTGCAGACAGTGACAATTGAAATTCCCATTGCAGCTTTTCAGTTTGTACACGGGAGATTTTACAATGCAACACCTCTCTCATCCACTGGTGTGTGGTAAAAACACTTAATTGAAAACTCATTTTAAAAGAATGTTAACCAAACAAGGTGTAGCTGTGAACATTGTAGAAACAGCTGCTCACAAAAGGGAACTGCCRGCTGCTCTAGATCATGCTGTCTAGACCACTTAGAATACTTCATAACGTTCAGGATTAGGATGTATAAAAATATTAAAACCCACCAGAGTGCACACAAATGTGACTAGCTCTACGCAAGCACTGTGTTCTAACAGAGGCCTAGGCATTGCACAAAACTCAGATTCTTGACCGTGGGGGTAGCCCAAGGATCCACTGGTGTCTTTACATACAAACAAGTATTTACAGAAAATGCAGAGACGGAGAGAGAAGGACAGACTTTTAAAACTTGCAGTTTGCTCTAAAATATGTTCAGCAATGCAGTTTATAACATGCCCTAGTGAGACCAGGGGGTATTGGTTAACTGAAAGAAGGAGTATGTCTGAAAGTTGGAGCTGAAATGTCTTGTCACCTCCCCACACATTAGTTCTCTGAAGCTCAGAATTTTACAGCCATTTGTGAGTTTTAATGAGAACATGGTTAAAAAGAACMGAACAGCTAAAAAATGGTACTGTGAAAACAGAGATTAGTTGTTCTGGCAGTCCTCGCTCCCCCATCTCCATCTGCCTCCTGGGTATTTCCTGCCAGGAGTTGGTGTTCCCCTCCCTTCCCCGTAGGGGGCTGAAGTGCTTGCCCCATCCTCAGTGTGCCCATTTCAAAATGAACACAGGTCAGGTTCCAAGCTTGGCTCTCTTCCCACCTACTGCCGGGATGAAGCGTCCAGCCCCGGGTAAGAACCGTGTCACCAGGGGACAAACAGCCTTGCTCAGGTGCCCRCTGCTCAGGAGCTGAGGGTCTTTTTGCTCTCCTCTCACATGTGAAATGGACACACGTCAT